CTGGGCTTTGTGTGACCCTGTTCTTGTGTTCAGTCAGGGCCACGCCAACTTGAAGGATGACCAAGGCCCCTTCCAGTCCTTTCCATGCTCTACAGCAGTTGGCACATCATGAAACTATCCACTTTTTTTTTTTTTTAAGATGAGGAAGAATTTGTTCTTAAAACCATCTGGCATGGTGATGATTTTAGAGTTAGATCTTTGGCTATGGTGGCAGAGACTGCTAATTACCCACCAACTCTGCTCCCTCCCTTTCCCAAGATGAGAGAACCCTTGATTTGTCACTGGGTACAGACACCTGGAATGAGACAACATTCCTTAGCTTCTCCTGTGTCTCCACCACGTTTCAAAGCTGAGGCTGTGAAGGATTTCAGAATTCAGCTTGGAGAGGAAACGATGTATGTGTACAGCTTCGAGCAGATGCACTTAAATGTGGGGGTGTTCCCCTTCTTTCTTCAATGTGCTGCCTGGGAGGGATGCTAGGTCCCTTCTCGGGGAGTGGCAGATCAATAAAGCAGAAGGAGCCCGATTTCCAAATGTTCTGAGGCTGCCGCGCCAGCTGCTGGACAGCTGTGCAAGTGGGGAGTTGGCTTTTTTTGTTTGTTTGTTTAAGCCACTTATTTGGGGTTCTTGCTACAACCACTGACCCCACATTCAATGAATAACAGCCACACCTTCAAGAACTTCAACTTTTTCAAAAAACCGTCTATCTGTAATTATACTCCTCTTCCCCTCCCCTGGCCCTCCCTCTCTCCCCCCCCCACCATCAGAATCTTTCTTGTCTTCTTTGCAGACACACCTGAACGCGCTTCCCTGAGTGTGCACTGGCTGTGCCTCCACCCTCATGTTCTCCAGTATCTGCGTGACTTCGTCCTCTGCCTCTTCTTGGTCTTTTCCCAAGCGAGGCTTCGTGGTGGGGTCTGTCTGGGCCGCTTTACAATGTGCCTCTCCCATGCTTTGCTCCTCTCTGAGACCCCCGTGGTCTTCAGACATGCTTAGCTTTTACCTGCTTATTTATTTAGCATCTCCCCACCTCCACCAGAGTGTGAGCTCCACAAGGGCAGGGATCTTTCCCTATTTGCTTTGCTCTCTTTCCCCACTGCCTAGAACAATGCCTGGAGCATAGTGGATGTTCCAGAAGTGCCCAGTGTGCCCGGGGCGAACCGTACTGACCACAGGTGTGTCTATTTCATTGCTCTTGTACAGTTTCTGTTTAATTTTTAACCAGTTGTTGATTTTCTGATTTTCTATTTCATTGATTTCTGCTTTTATATTAAGGTCTTTTTTCTATCATCTTCCCACCTCTTCAGTTTCCTGAATTAAATGCTTAGGTCATTTATTTTAATCTTTCTTATTTTTAAATAGAATAGTTAAGGCTACCGGTTTTCCTCTGAATATTAATTTGGCTGCAATCTATAGGTTTTTATATGTAATCCTCTCATTTATTGTTCATTTCTACATTTTTTAAATTTCAGTTTGCTCTTGTCTTTAACTGAGGTGTTATTTAGAGGAGCATCTGAACAGTTCGGAGCAGAGTAACTTTGTCTAGCTGTCTTCATTGCTGCTATTAACCCTACTTTTCTTGAATTGTGGTCCAAAATGTGGTTCGAATGATTTCTTCTTTTTGTTTTTGCTTTTTGAAAACACTTTCTTTCTGGTGCACTACATGATCAGATCTTACGAGTATTCCAAAGAATATATATTCTGTAATTGCTGGCCTCAAAATTTCAGATTTCTGTTACATCAAGCCTGCTGATTGGGCTATTTTTAAAAATATGTTCTATTTATTTTTGAGAAAAGGATGTTAAAAGCTTTACTATGATTTCCTGTGAGTAAATTTCCTGTTTTCCTTCTTTTTTTTTAATTAAACTTTTAAAATAATGTTACCAGGTATGAAAAAATTCATAACTATTACATCATCTTGTAAGTTAAACTTCTTATCAAATGAAAAATATTTCCCCATATTACATTTAGTCTATGTTAACATTACTACTGCTGCTTTCTTTTTTCTGACACCTTCTACGCCTTTCTCGAGCATTTTTCAGTCCTTCTGTGTCATTCTTTAGAATGATATACCTGGATTGAAAAAAAATCATTATGAGATTCTGACTTTTTGTATATAAGAATTTAATGCATTCATATTTATTTTCCCAAGGATGTTATTTCATGTTTTCCACTTTCTATACTTGATGGTATCTTCTCTCTCCTCTTTCCAGCCTTTTATTGAAAATTTTGAGTTTTCTTTGTTCCCTGGCCTTTTCCTGGCATTTGGAAGTTATAGATCTCATCCATATTCATTTGCTTTTACCCTTCATTATTAGCACATGCATTTAAACATATATTCCTAGTTTCAACGAGCATGCATATCCCCCTCTCGCGTAAGAGAAGAGCTGTAGTCATTGACTGCGTCCCTCCAGAGCCTTTCTGGGCATTTATGCCCACACAAACGTTCCTGTACCTGGGAGACAGGATTCAGAGCATGACCTGCCATGCAGCTGGCCCCGAGAATCCCCCTCGAGTGTGGACCGAACCCGAGATGTCAGTTGTGTGATTATGTTGCCTTATAGGACAAAGGGGGGTGATTAGGGTGGGTCTATGCTGTCAGTAGCAGCCCTTTGAAAGCAGGGGTTTTCCTTGGGCAGGTAATAGCAGCAGACAAGATCGGAAGCACAAGTGGGACCAAAGAGCCACCTCAACAAGCAGGGGGGTCTTTCAGGCCAACAAGAAAGGGGTCTTGGACTTGCAACCACAAGGGACTGAGTTCTGCAAATAAAGGAATAGTTTGGAAGGGGACCCAAGCTCCAGATGAGCAGGCAGAACACCCACCCTTCATGTCAAACGTGAGAGACCCTGAGAGGAGAGAGAGTCACACAATGTGGGACACCTGACCTCGGAGCCCGCCCCTCCCTACCTCCTCCCTCCCCCTGCCTCTCCCTTTCTTCTTTCTTGTCCCTGAGCCGTTTTATATGAGACACTGTACATATGATCCAGGTTACTATTAAAGTGGCCACAGCTGGGGGTGGGGTGGGGGCTTAGGAGTCACCCTCAGGCACCTGCATGAACTGGTATAAAACAGTGTTCTCCAACCCAAAAGCAGCTTGGCCTTGACTAGCCAGTAAAGGGGACTGGGGCTGAAGTTTCTGGGTCATTCCGTGACCTGCCTTACCAGGGATCATGCCCCATGACAGAGTGCCAGCCCCCAGGCAGCTTAAATGACAGACACAAATGGCCAAGAGTCCATGTTCAGGGTAGGGGCACCGGGCGGTTGGCAGGGCCCTGACCTTGGTGAGAAGGGTGCACCCCCTGGGTGGGCCTTCCCGGCTATGAGTCCATTTGAGTTCGACCATTCAGGGGCCCCCTGACCACTGAGCCGCCCCACCTGCTCCTACGCCTGTGGGGTTGCTTTTGAGCTATTTCACGTCCCCTCTGTGGGTCAAACATGCCCTGTGTCATGCGCCCCATCAGTGATGCTTCTAGAAAAATGGTTTGAGGCAGGACTTGCTCTGGCAGATCTGAGCAGCTGCCTTTCTCCCAACTTTAGCTTCTCCTGAAAGCCCAGAGCTCTGGATGCAACAAAGAAAGTCATCTTGGAGCAACCTGCTGAGGCCTGGTCTGGGGCTCCCTTGCTGGGTTGGGCCTTGCCAAGCTCCACCTGGACAGGATAAGACAAAGGGGCCGACGAGGGGGTGCGTGGGGGCTATGACAACTATCCAGAGAGGTTGAAGTTCAGATTTCACACGCCCTAGGCAGGTTTTACTTTGGAGGAGCACACATTCAAAAAAACCCAGTGCCGGAGGATCTAAGAAGTGAAATGAGAATTGCCACACAAGCTGGCTCCCCACACCCCTGCAAACTCAGGTTGGGGCCCAGAGCCCCCAGGTCACCAAGTTCTTTCTGAATTTGCTGCTCAGGAAGAATAACATCTATGCAGCTTGAATAACTCAAAATTCTCAGTCATCTTTGCAATGAGTGGGGTGTTCCAGCCCCGTGAGTGACGTGCCAGTCTCCAAACCAGCCAGGGCGTGCAAGTGAGCGAGACACTCGTCCTGCCTTTTCTCCTCGAACAAAAGCCGTGATGGCTTTGTCAGGTCCCATTTGGAACCACAATATCAATCTTGACTTATCCATATTATTGATGGGTTGTGGGTATTCTACTGTAATTATGTCAAAAGTGAAATATTTCAAGATGGGATTGGCAGGCTGATTACAATAGTGTGTGTGATTAAACCCAGGGCTTGCTGGTGCAGCTAAAGGGAGAATGTCAGCGGCAATTAACTGTATTTTCTTTAAAGTTTGCCAAGATTTCTCGCATTTCTCATTGTGTGGTTGTAAAATAACCCACCGGGGCACCTGGCGGGAGGCATCCTTGCTGTTTCCTGAGAAGGGCCCTGGGGCTGGAGGCAGGGATCAAAAGACTCCATGTGAAGCTTGGGAGCCTCAGGAAGGGACTAGAAATGGACAAAGACCTTTCAAATATATTAAATATTTCCCATCATCATCATCATCATCTTTCTCTTTGCCCCACCTCTTCGGTGCAAACCCTTGCAAGAAGAGATAATAGCTCGGATGGGTGAGATGCCTGACTGGCTGCCATATTATAAGATGTGGCCCCCCTGACTGTGCCACTGGGCACACGTGGGTGGGTGTGATGATTGGGCTCACTCCCAGGTGTGAAGGCGTATTTGGTCCTGGCAATTTAGGGGTGCTGTGCAAACATTTCAAGGATGTGTTGGTGCCTGTGTTGGGCTGGACGGATTTGGTTAGGTTCAGGAAGCATGTTCTGAGAACCCACTGGGTAGCAGGGTTTGACGCGGCCCTTCCTGCCCACCAAGTTTGTGTGGAATTGTGAAGGCACTCGCTGCCCTTAGCCAGTGCCCCTAGCAGAATGCCTGTGTGGAGAAAGGATTTGAGTCTTGGCCACACCCTGCCATTCAGGGTTTTATCTTTGAATAGAACATGAGCTGGGTTCTAGAACCTTCCAGAGGAAACATTGGTGGCGCTTATCAAATGGGGCACTTGTTCCTGACAACCTTGGAGTTGTGACAATGGGGATCATCTAATTCTTATGTGTCACCTCTTCTCAGAAGCCTTCCAGCCTTCCCCGGGCTGACAGCCCATCTCTGCACCTTTGCAATGTCTTCATTTTGAACTTAGCACATGGCTTTGTTGTGAGCTCTTCCCCTCAAAAAGGCCTTGAAGATGAAGAAGGATCGTGTCTTACTCATGTCTGTACATGAGACCAGGACATAGAAGGAGTTGAATGCATGTTCCCTGTTTAGCTTCCTGGAGCTGCCGTAAGGAGGCTTCTCAAAGGGGGTGGTGTAGGAGAGACTGTGGCCTGGCACTTTTGGAGCCTGGAGGTTGGAGGTAAGGAGCTGGCAGGGCCCCGACCTCGGAGCTGGAGGGGTGGGTGTGCTCCAGGTCTCTCCCAGCTGCTAGTAGATGCCAGGTTGTGGCCAAGTAGCTCTGATGGCCACACACGCCCTGTGGCTTGTCCATGTCTGAGGGTCCCGGGAATATAAGGACACGCTAATGCTGGACCAGGGGCCACAGTGTGGGTCCATCTTAGGAAATCACAACAAGGATCCAATTTCCAAGAAAGGCTGCCTTTCTAACACTGGGAATTAGAACTTTGATGTAGGGATATTGGGGGAGACGGTTCAGCCTGCAACAACCCCATGGAAAGCTGGTGAAGCTTCTCCCAGACTTGCCAGTTTGCAAGTTTAATCATCTCAGTGTGACCCCATCATTGTCCACTCCCCCCCACCCCATCCCACATAGAAAAGACAAATACACAGCCGTGGGGTGAGTGACTGAGGTTCAGAACCAGGTCTAAGCACAGGCCTGCAGAGCCTGGCTAGTCCAGGACAGGAGCCACTGGCAGGCGGCTGCCCCCTGACCCTGCTGGACTGTCCCCCTCCTTTGGCAGAAGGGCCTCCCTATCCAGGGGCGGCTCTCAGCCCCCCACTGCTGGCACAGAAGGTGAAGGTGAAGCTGAGTTTGCCTTTGGCTGTTCTAGGTTAGGCTTCGAGCCTAGGGACGAGATGAATGGCTTGAAATTCCTCCAAATGCCTTCCTTGAAGGGAGGGTTTTGCTGGCTTTGCAGCGAGGTCTTGGATTTGACCCAGAAACATAAGAAATTGCTGCAGAGATGATCTTGCCGTGGGAACCAAACACCGACTGACACGGCGTGATTGCTTGACTCCTGGAATCGCAATTCAGTTCTCACTAATTAGCACAGCCTCCCTCTTAATGATGTTCTCTCTTGATGCCGCCTTCTTTCTCACATGGGCCGCTGTCCCGAAGCCTTAGCATTGTGACTTCGAAATGACACTTGTGGGGACAGGAGATAGGGTGAGAATGAACTCTGAATGGGAACTGAGCCTGAGAACTCTGTGTGTGTCCACATGCACACACACGCACACGTGCACCCACATGCACCCACACACGTGCACACACACACACCCTGCACATGCACACACCCCCACTGCATGCACACACGTGCACCTATATGCACACGGGTGCACATACATACATGCACCTGCACACGCACGTGTACACACATGCACGCACACACGGGCCTGCATGCACATACACACATACCCGCATACGCGGACTACTTCCTGTCTTTTCACAGGATACTTTCTGGTACATCTGATGCTTCAAACTTATCCAGTCTTTGGTTTCTCTCTTGCTGTGTAATAAACCACCCCAAATGCAGTGGCATAAAAGCGCGGCTGTGTAGCCACACGCACAATTCCGCAGGCGAGGCATCCGTGTGCGCCCCACTAGGGCACTCCGGGCTCTCGTGACTCCCTGGGGGCCCCTTGCCCTGCCTGCTGCTCTGCTCCTGACTCATCCCCACTTTGTGTTTGCCAGGGCTGGATCCCCCCGGGTGACGCTCACTCTCACAGGTCTGACGCTCGGGCAGGCGGTTAGGGCCGCTGGGGCGCCCTGCCTCCCCCATCCAGACACCCTCCTCTCCGCGGGGCTAGCCTGGGCTTTCTTGGAGTGTGGTGGTCTCAGGGGAGCGGGCAGCTGGCCTGCTTCCAGGAAGGTTAGATGGAATGTTTTGATGACCAACACTTAGAACTCAGTGTCCCTTCTCCCACATTCCATTGTCCAAAAGAGTCACTGAGTCCAGTCCTGATTCCAGAAGAAGGGAAATAAACTCCACACCTCCGCGGATGGTTGACAGGGAACTTGCAGCCCACTTTGACTGCTAACGCATCCTGGCGCTCAGCTGTTATCTAATTGCTCTGGGTGGTCTCCTCCAGCACCTCTGCGGGGTCTCAGAACTATCATTCTAACTGCAAGCCCGACACACACACGCACACACACACACACAGGCCCGTGCACTCACACGGAGCCCTTTAAACCCTGTGAAGGCCACCTGAGCTCCTTCGCAGCATCACCCAGGAAGTCCTCCTGGTATCGGGGTGCCTGGGAGGGACCTCATCGGATGAAGAAGTGAAGGCTCCGAGAAGTGAATGAGCTGCCCAGGGTCCAGCGGAGCTGGTGGTGGCCTCTGGGTTCTTGGCGTGGGGATCTTCCCCCTGTGCCCCTGCTCTCAGTTACTGAATCACATCCAGCGGGGCCAGGCACCTACGTGGCCCGGGCAGTGTAGAGTGGGCAGCAGCTGCAGTGGGCACTGGAGAGCACAGGGAGCTGGCGCCCTTGAGCCTACTCTGTGGGTGAAGTGACCAGCCAAGAAGACACCGCGAGTCAAGGACAGTTAGAATTCACTCCAGGGGCTTTCTGGGGGGTCCTGTGTCCTTGCCCGAGCCACCCCCCAGGGAAGTTCATGGCCATGGGGTCAGGATCCGCGCACCCTGGGAGCGCAGCCCCGGGACTGTGCCTTGCTCACCAGCTGAGGTCCAAGCCCGGGGGACCCCCTGCCTGGGCGGCTTCCAGGGTGGCCTTCTGGGAGAAGGGATCGATGGCGACATTGGTAGATCCAGCCCGGCTTTTGCAATAAAAGCTTTTTATGCCTCTTGTTCAAAGCGTTTAAGTGCCTTTTAGATCACGGATTGAACCATCGACGTTATAAAGTGGAACCTTTTAATACCAAAACACGCTTCCAGAGTAAAATTCCATTATGGGAAAAAGCGTTTGATGGCACCGGGCTAGATAATAATTCTCTCACGTGTAATAGGATGTATGAAATGTTTGATGATAAACAGAGTTTCTCGGCACGGTAATAAGACGACTCACACTGCAGAGAGCGTGTGTGTGCGTGTGTGTGCGTGTGTGTGTGTCTGTGTGTTGCATACACATAGCAAGTCCTGTTCATTCTGGATACTAGTTTCTTTATCTGTAAGTAGATGGCATTGGACTTGATGGACTCTGAGATGTTTTCTGCTGTTAGATTATACGAAAAAGTCATTTTCCCACTCTAAGTCTCCACTTCCTCAAGCTTAAAATGAGGGCTTTTATATCAATCTGGAAACTTTTAGTTGCAAGAGATAACTCAAAGTGACTAAAGCAAAGAGTGTATGTATAAAAGATGACAAGAGCTCGGGTAACTGAAATCCCCAGAAGCTTCTGGGTTCCAGCAAAGGCACGTACAGGCCCCGCAGCATTGTTAGCAGGACTCCTTTCCCCTCTGTCTCTCCACAGGGGGGTCAGTCAGACTCCCCATTCTCACTGCTCAGCAACAACAGGAGACTTTCCTCCAATATTTTCAACCCAAGCTGTTGGATTGAATCTCATGGGGTTCAGATCGGGCCCCTTGTCTATCTCTGGTCCAGTCATCATGTTCAGGGTGCAAACTGCACTGATGGGCCAAGTCTGAGTCAAACCCCCAATCTAGAGTAGAAGGGGGGGTCAGCCCCTTCCACCTATAAAGTGAAAGTTATAACTGCTGGTCCCCCATTGGAATAGTGGGGTGCTGCTAAAGAATGTCAGGCAAAGGAATGAACAGTATCCATTTAGGGTTTGACCTAATTCTAGTCGCCCCCAAGACATGGCCAAGCTCTAGAAGCTTATGAATAGTAAGTGCTTAGGTGCCAGAGGTACCTTTGAGATTATAAAGTTCAACTTTTTTCTTCAAGTTAAGGAGACTGAGGCTCAGAGGGGAGCTGTGACTTGCTCAAGATCCAGTGTGAAAACTCAGTCTCTGACACGGACCCATGCTCTGAACTCTGCTCTTTGAGCTAAGCAGCTAGGGTGGCCTCCTGGGAAGAGCTGGCAGAATCTAGGAGGGCATTGTTGCCTAAACTCGCTTCCACCGAAGCCACCCTTTGGCGCAGCCAAGATAGGTTATTTCAGGTTAGCTGATGGCTTCCAAGTCTCGAGACAAGGTGAGGACTCACCAAGTGGGCCATTCCCTTCATTTCTGAATTTGCCCCATTTCATTAGGACTTCCAGAAGGGATTTCTGATTATGCTAGTGATTTGCTGTGTGTTCTTGGTCAGGTCACTTAACCTCTCTGGGCATCAGTTTCTCATTTTGCAATTGTGTCCTCCTATCAAGAGCCTCTTATTGCCTCTTGCCCTGCATGCTTACACCTGGGGTCTCTTGTGTTCTACAAGGCGATCTAATATAATTCTCCTCAATCTTGGTTTCTGTGAAGGTTTGGCTAGATTCTCAGGAAGCATTTATAATTTAACAAATGAGTGGAAAGGTGACTCTCTAGCAAGGGGAGTATTGCAGGCAGGTGGGATGGCTACTTCCTGGCTGTGGCGGACCCACCTGGGTCAGACCTTGACTCCTCCATGTTTGTGACCTGGTGTCTGACCTTGAGCAGCTGATTTCACTTTTACAGGCCTCTGTTTCCTTCTCCGGAGAGTGGGGATCTTGCAGAGTGGTTGCCAGGATAAAATGACACCCTGTCCTGCACTTGGGCCAGAGCAGGCTCCAGTGTGGGGAGGGCAGGGGCCGCAGGACATAGGCCAGCATTGCCTGGGCTCAGTGGGGATGCCATCGCCCCCTCTCATCTCTTAGTCCCATGCAAGGGCGTCACAGCAGCAGCCACCTCGGCTGCTATGGAGGGTTGGCTTGTGTCCCGCTCCAAAAACAATAGTGTGTCCAAGTCCTAACCTCCATATCTGTGATGACCTTTGGAAATAGGATCTGCAGATGGAATCAAGCTACAAACTTTGAGATGAGGTTGTCCTGATTGCTGGGTGAGCCCTCACCCCCAAGGCTGGAGTCCTTCAAAGAAAAAGGAGGGGGGGGTTGGGTTCACACAGAGAAGAAGGGGGTGGAGATTGGGCAACACTGACACAGACAAGGAGTCCCTGGAGCCCCTGGAACTTGGAGGCCAGAAGGTCCTACCCTGGAGCCTTTGGTGGGCAACATGTTACCACTTGGATTTGGGGTGTCTGGTCTTCAGAGAATGAAGAGGATGCATTTCTGCTCTTTTCAGTCACCAGCTTGTGGTAATTCGTGGTGGTGGTTGGAGGAAACTAAGACAAGTTTATGACAAAAGAGAAGCTTTGTAAATTGTGTGGCCTGGACTCAAGCACACCTGACCACAGGGATGGTCTTGTCTCTGTCTCTCACCCCTCCCTGCTCCTCTCCGCCCGTTCTCGGCGTGTGCCCCATCTTTCCACTCAGTGATCTCCCACGGACACTTTCCCCGCGGAGCTGATAAATCAAGATACTGAGTCATTTATATTACACTTGGAAATCCCTAGTTGTGCTTAAAAATAGTAACAGATACGTACAAATAAACTTAGCTACGAACCAGAGTGACTATTGGCCACTTAATTCATTCCAGGATCATAAGGGGTGTGTGTGTGAAGCCAAACAGCAAGAAATGTATGTTTAATGCTACGTCTCTACTGATAGAAACACAGTAATAAATTACACGCGCATCGGCTCCGGTGAGTCAGCCGCCCCGAACGATTCATTTATTCATTCAACACACTTTTATTGGACGGTGTGCCAAGCACTGAGGCAGGCAGGGGAAAGCGCAGTGACATTGGGTGTTGAATTTGGTGGCAGGAGCTGTAGAGGAAGGTACAGGATGCGTGGAAAGGCAGTTGGGTGAGCGGTTGGGGCCTTGGGCCCTGGAGCCAGACCCCTTGGGCTGGAATCCCAGCTCCTCCACGCACAGCCCGCTAGCTGCACGCGCAAGACAGGCTACAGGCATCACTGGGCCCATTTCTGTGCCTCTCTAGCTCCTAAACACGGCCTTCCCTCCTAAGCCGTGATTTGGGGGGTTTTCAATGGACAGTTCATCAAGCTCCTCTGACTTGGTGGGATTCATACCCCAAATCCAGTCTCCCCTTTGCGAGGGGCAGCAGCTGAGCCTGTGCTCACCTTGCCTCCACTCCTGCTGTTTCCCTGGGGGCTGCTTCAAGTCTTGCTTATGCAGATGCAAGTCAGCAGTCAGCTGAGGATTTCAGGGGTGTTCAGATGAAGGCTCCAGGGCTGTGGCCAGGACGCCTTGCATTCTGCGATCCTGCCTTACCTCCCCGATTTCCGGTCCTCCTCGGACTCCCCGATCTAACAGGACTGTGCCTTTCCTCTCAGCCCCAGTCATGCTGCGGGGTGGAGCCTGGGAAGTGTCCTCCGTGGAGGTAGGGCGAACATGGGTCTCCCCCAGGGGGACCCTTCTCTCAAGGGCCAGCCCCGTCAGTATCTGCCTGCTCTGGCTTCTGCCCGGTGGGAGGTTGGTATGAGAAGAACTGCTCCACCCTTACCACCAGCTCTGCTTTCCCACCTTAGGTCATCTCCCCTATTCTCTGGGCTAATCCATGCCCCTGTCTAAAAAGCCTACTCTGTGGCGATGGTTCCCGAGCTTTCTATCTTTGCCTTCTGAAATCTGCATAGATTTAAGCATAAAAATCTGAACATAAAGGTAGAGAAAAGGAAGGCTTAGAAGTTGGAGCCAAAAGCGATGTGCCAGCAAGAGGCACTGCAGAGGAGCTTTCAAAGGAAACTGGCACCAGGGTGGTGTAGAGCAGTGGGGGCTGGGAGCAGAGCTTGCTTTACAGGGAGCAGGGCAGGAGGGGTGCTGGATGCTGTGAGGCGGCCCCAAAAGAGAAGGACTGAACAGCATCATGGTAATAAGTAACACGTGGTCATTGCAAGAATGTCCTTGGTGTCAGGAAGGAGACAGGTGGCCTATAGGTCAAAGGGAGCAGCCATGAGGATACCAACAAGAAAAGACTGTGGCCGTGGCCGTGGTCGTGGATGCAGACTTCAAGTGCAGGCCCATGCTGGCAAGGTGCTGTCCATGGGAGGCGAGGAGATGGTGGCTGCCTTGTACGAGCCCTCGAAAGCATCGAGCCGCTTACATCTTCCAAGTCTGTGCCCATCTGGGCCCTGCCGCGTGGCCCTCGCCATCCCCATCTTTGAGTCACATCTGCTTTTCCTTCGGGACTGCATGGGAGGGTTTTACCCTAACAGAGATCCCCTCCATTTGCCAGGTTAGGCGTCTCGCCTGCCTGTTTGCCCTTCATCTCCCCCAACTCCCTCATCATAGCTACGGGGGTGAGGATCCCAGCGAACTAACACTGCCTCTCATTTCCCCCAGTTTTGAAGGAAATTGATATAAAGACATAGAGCCAAACCAATGACTCTCAGAATGTCAGCTTTAGGGTCTGGAAGGCTGGATAGGGAATGTGGCTTGACCTGGGGCTTCATGGGCTTCCTGAGACTTTAGCCCTCGCTCTTGGGGCGACTACCCTAAGCCAGACCATTGGCAGCCAATGCAACGGGTGCTCTGCCCGCCACCTGTGAGCCTATTATGTTTCCCGACCTGGTCAGCAAAATAGGACAGATTCTGAGCCCAGCTTCAGAGGCATATAGATGAGAGAGAGAGAGACAGGTGAGGGAGGGGGGCGTGGGGGGGGGGAAAGAGAGGCACTTGACCCCAAAATGAGTTCTTTTTCCTTGTCTAACTAATCCCCAAAGTCACTGGTTCTTTAGGAGATAGTGGGAGAAGGCTGCAATTCTTTTGTAATTATGCTTCCTCTGAGACGTGGAGCTGTCATTATGGAAACCTGAGGGTGGGAAAAGCAATTCCTCCTCATTGGGCAAACCACCCTAGCTGTAGCTCTCACAATGTGTCCATCTGCCCCACTGGGGTGCGGCCTTTTAGGGACAGCAATCTTGTCTTGCTCACCCCTATCCTGAGCACCGAGCACAGCCCGTAGGTCTTTGTAGATGCTCAGTAAATATTTGTTCAACAGTAAATGAGCAAATGTCAAGTTAGACCGGTGGATACTTCAAAGGCTTTTGCAATATGTCCTGAATTTTCTTAAAGCTGCTTTACTAGATTTTTAAAACACTGGAGACCTTAGCTCTGTGCTAAACTAAGACCAATGACAGTCAGGGGAAAGAATGATCAAGTTCACAAATTATCCTTTGGTTTATCTTTTAATTCCCAAAGATAAATGTTACCTCTGTTAAGTCTTGCTTTATGCCTCTGTTGCAGGTGTTAGCTTATGAAAATATTGGCTGAGCTCAGCTCCCTGGTGTGAAATGCAAATCCTGGGAAATTCAAACATACTGGTGAGTGGCAGCTTGGGTTTCTCTTATTAATGGTCACTTATGGTCTGCAATCAAGCCACACCTGTTAGAGACAAAGCAATGGTTGGTTTGTTTGCTTGAAGCGAGGATCATTTATCAACTTGCTGATTATTCATTTTCCCTCAAGGTAATAGCCAGAGACATTTATGCAGAAAAAGAGAAAAATGTCAACTTTTCTAGTTTTAGTGAACAGTGTGGGGATATCTTGACTTTGGAATGAGACAGTACCAGGTATAAAACCCCATTCTGTCACTCACTAGCCACAGCCACAGTTAGAGAGTGTGTGTCTCACCTGTTAGGTGATGATAATCAGACCTGAATTTCAGGGCTGATACTGGGGATTAGGTAAGTGACTTCCTCTCGGGCCTTGACATGCAATATGTTTTCATTGCTGTTCCCATTAGCTGTTTTCTAGTTAACATTGTAAAGGACAGGTGCACCAACCTCTCTGTCTCTCCACTCACACTTCTGGCCTCCTAGATGTTTCCCTCAAACCCAATGACAGAAAAGAAAGGGCATCTGGGGTGTCTGTGATAGGGAGGGCTGAGTGGGGTAGAGAGAGCCCAGGTCCCAAGAGGGAGTGAGAAGAGGCAGCCCCGGGGTATGTGGTTGGCCCATGTGCAGCTGTAAGCTTTGGTCACCAGTGTTTTAGTTGGCTTGTGCTGCTGTAACAAAATACTACCAACTTGGTGGCTTAAATCACAGAAATTTATTTTCTCTGAAAGTCCAAGATCAAAGTCTTCAGTGGAGTTGGCTTCTTGGTGTGTCCACAACTGTCTGCCTCGTGTCCTCACAAGGTCTTCCCTCTGTGTGTGTCTGTGTCCCAATCTCTTTTATTAAAGGTGCCAATGAGCTTGGGTAAGGCCCACCCTCACAGCCCCTTCTAACTTCATCACCTCTTTAACCTCCCTATCTCTGAAGACAGTCACATTCTGAGGAGGCGGGGCTTAGGACTTAGCATCTGGACTTTAGGGTGGTTATTAGAAATAAAGTCTCAAGGATAGACAAAGAGTCTATTAGACAATCAAAGTGAAGATGTGAACCTGGAAGCAGCCCGACAGATTTTACTCTGCGAGAGCTGTTCCGATCAACACCAGTTTGAATTAAGTTTGTATAGGTAGAAAGAGTGAGTCACTGACATGAGGAATGTAATGATTTTTTTTTTAAAGATTTTATTTTATTTATACAAGAGCCAGGTTACAGGCCAGATGTGCGGGAGTGTGAGAGGATTCCCCAGAGACAGAGTGGGGAGCAGAATAGGCAGACTGACGAAATACACTGCTGAGGGGAGCAGCGGGTGAGGCAGGAGAGGTTTGCTCGCCATGTGGGTTGCTCCGAGGCCAGCGGGGAACGAACAGTCACTGCAGAGGCTGCGGACAGCTTCACAGCACTGCGCTCAACCGCCTGCGCCACCAGGGAGGCCCTGTGATGATTCTTGATAGGAGGGACTTCCCGTTCTATGTTGTTCTGATCAAAAGAGAGGCTGTGCTGGCTGAGGAAGGTATTCTCTTCTCTTTTAAAGAGTGCACTGCAGAGGTGCAGAAGCTGGGTCCCCATCATTAACTCTTCTTTATCTGTCTCCTTAGTCATCAGTGAGGGTGAAAAGATTGGCTTTACCTGCGGGCAGTAGATTTTGCAGAGCTGTTTCAGACTTCAAGTTTATGCTGATGACTCTGCTCTCTCTCGCTTACTCTATATGCACAGGGGGACACGGTGCTGATCACAGCTCCCTGGAAGCGATGCCTGAGATGGAGCAAGCAGCCCAGAGTCCGGGGGGCAGGGTGAGCCCCCACACTCTGAGACACAGCAAGTGTGTCCCATACAGGTTTCTGTCACCCCACTCTCTGGGATCAGTGCTGGGGTGGAGCAGATTTGGGGCACACACAGGGTCTGCTCAGGAACACCTTGGCATCAGTGCCCTTCGCTCCCTTGCCTTCTTCCTTCCCCCTGCCCTCGGTTGGACTGGCTGGAAGTCTGCTGTGCTCTGACCTTTCCTCCAAGGCTTTGATCATTGACATTCAAGAGCCCAGGCTTCCAAAACTCACCAGCATTCTCTGAACTGTATTCTTTCTGCCATGCCTTTGAAAAGTGTATTTTACATCTCAGTGATTAGAGCCCAGATTTCTGAAGAGCAGAAATGTATCACTCTTTGGTGTGTAATCTGATATTCCCTTTGACAGAGGAAGAGCATAATCACTGACATGGTAAAGCTGGGTTCAAATCCTGGCTCCACCTCTTATAGGGCAAGTTGCGTAAGTTCTCCAAGACTCAATTTCCATACCTGTGAAATGGGCTGATAATGGTACTGAGCAGAGTTGCTGCAAAGACTAATTGAGATACCCGATCTAAAGTACTTGGGACCAAGTCTGACACATGAAACCGCTAAAATATGCTAATCATTATCATGGGAAAATGTTTGCTGATAGACTGATTGATGGGCTCTAGGTTTCAGTAAGGCAAGGTGCTGGTGCTGGTGTGTACCAAAAGCAGAAATGCATTTTCCACATGGTGGCTATATTTAGCAATACATCTCTGCCATTCTTTCGAGATAAAAAGATTTTGTTTTCCTCGGAGTCCTTTCGAGTCATGTAATAAGGCTTATATATAGTGCCTTTTGTTCCAGAATCTGAGAGGAGCCCTGAAATCAAAACATCACAAGAGTTGAATGGTTGCAAAAATAAAAGCAACAATTTACTTTTGTTTTTGAAAAGCTCTCCTTCCTTTGCAACTTGGCAGCTGGATGTGAAGATGTATGTATATTTGACCCGAGTCTCAGTCCAGCCACTGATGATAAATTACACTTGCAGCTTGGCTCCCAGCGATGGAGTAAATATGGATCTCTTGATGTTCAGAAAGAGGAAAATAAGAAATAAATGATCAGAAGGAGAGGAAACCACTTTTACTGAAAGACTACTAGGGACCAAAAACTTATGTCAAATTCCAAAAACTGCTATCATTTACAGAGCAGGAGAGAGGCTCTTAATTGCACAGCAATTAAGTGGCAGAGGGAATTCCAGACTCAGGTCACTCTTTGTCACAAAGCCCATGTTCCCATCACAGTACCACATTGCTACCCTCATAGCGTTAGACTACCTGGTGACCCACGGCTCCCAGACAGACAAAGACATTGCTTTAGGCTTGACATTCCAAGCCTAAAGGAAACTGAGGACAAAGACCTGTTCTCTTTGGGAGAGAGGCTTGCCACCCAGCTATCAAGAAGATGTTTATGACACCAAGACAGCTGCCTTCTGACACTTATGAAATCAGGCACGTTGACTGAAACAATACCCGCTCAATCCCCAAGACACCTACCTGTGCCGACTCTGGACTTCTGCCCTCCTGATCTTCCTGGAGGAAACTTAGTGGCAGAACCAAATTTTCCAGAGTCCTATGTACTAGGATGTCTAAGAAATGCAGGTTTGAATTTGCAGCCTCTGCAGTGGGAAGGAAGTAGTAACGGTGCCCAGTTGGTAGTAGACCACAGTTGCTCCTTAAAAGTGGGCAGAAGGCAGCCCATCCACCACGCTCACCTCACCCCCGACGAAGACAGTTTCATCAGCACGCCGCAAAGCACTCGGTCATCCTTGGAAGCACACGCTAAATTTTCCTGTACCACTCATCTCTCCAAATTTGAAGATGAGTAACTGTGGCATCTTGAAAACCAGCTCAGGAGATAGAAACATGTGACATGATGCATGGTTGCTTTGCTGCAGGGAGAGTGGTTGAACGTTTGGTCCTTGGAGTCAGCCAATACCTTGGCTAAAAGCCCAATGGCATCACTTACTAGCTGTGTGACCTTGAGCCAGTTGCTTACCTTCTCTGAACGCCTTTTTCCTTGCCTTTGCAATTGGGCAGGTTATAATACCAGCCTCCAAGGGCTAAAGTAAAGTCTCCTTGAAATGCTGTCTTTACACTATTGTAAAAACATTTCCTGGAAGACACTTAAAAGTTAATAAATGGCAGCTGCATTCACCATCATTATCACCATCACATGTCACCATTACCTCATGAAAAAAAGGAGAAGAAACATTTTCTGAGCCTTTTAAAACCTCTCTCCATCCACTTCTGATTCAGAGTAACCTATGTGCTGTTGATAAAGCTGCTGCATTAGTTCAGCAGAGGAACTAGGTCCGTGTCGCCTTGCCTTGGAAGTCTGTGGCCCCGTCAGCTCTGCCACTTCCCTACATCATGGTTGTGTGTGTCTGGTGTCAGCAGGGATGTGGGGCCATTGAGCTCTACCTGTCTCCAGCACCGTGTCCTGAGCAAACAGGTCATGTCTCCAAGGTTTGTTTCCTCACCTGGCCCCTGGGAATCATGTTGCTGCCCCTTTGGGCTACCTGAGACGGTTTTCCCAGCATATAATAAATGCGCAAAAATCCCAGCATATAATAAATGTCACAAAAATCACTTGAATTTGTGGACACGTCTGTTTATATACCTGCCAAGGACACTGTGTCAGGTGCATAGTAGGTGCTCCTATCCCTTGCTAACACGTAACACTGGGCTGAGATGAGTCATCCCCTGCAGGCGGGGGAGCAGAAACCAGGGCTGGGGTACCCAGGAGACGCTGAACACATTCTGCTCTTCACCCCTCTCTCCTGTCCCTCCTCCCAGGAAGTGCTCTTTCTCAGATGGTTGTTAGGTTTCCGGCTCTGAGGAAAACCCCCTAACAACTTCGCTGTAGGAAGATCAAAGCCCATTTCAGACATTACCTCATCTCCCTGTCATCAGCCTGCAGGGGCCAAGAACTGGTCTGTCCAGGCCCACTGTGCCCATTTCACAGATGAAAGCAGCAAGTCTAGGACTTGTGAACTGACTCAGAGGTCGAGCCAGCGCCTGATGGATTTGGGACACGCTGCCAGGGCGGCCTTGCTTCCCAAGGACTTTTGTGTTTATTTGAACTTCACAGACTGAGTTTCCGCCACAGTCTAGCAAACACCAGCCTCCGCGCCCTCTCCCCAAGTGCCCTGCACTATTGTTACCTTTCCATGCCCTTGAGCTCGGCCTACCAGGCTGAAGGGGCTCCTGGGCATACTAAAGGGCGCAGGGTGGGGGTCTGACTATATGGAAATCAGTACGGATCCCATGGGTAAATTTTCAGCTGGTCTGCCTTACTGGGGGGCTGGAGGCTGGAAGTCTGCCTTGCTGGGAGGCTGTATTCATTGGGCTGAACCCACTCTGGACCACCTTGCTTCATCCATGATGTTCCTCTGGGCAGGATCCGTGACCTATGACAGCGTTTTGTATAAATCTCTATCCCTGTATTGAAATCATTTCTTCATAAGAAGCTTCCTCATGTACTGAGGCACTGCATGAGGGGCAGTAAAGTTCTAAAAGTAGACTCAGGCGGCCTGGAATCATTGAAACTCCATGATTCCCCCCCCCCCCTTTAAACACTAAGCTAATGTCTGGGAAAAGCACAGTGCCTGACACATAACAGGTTCATTTAACTGGGTGCTCCTAGGAGGGACAGGAGAGAAGGGTGAAGAGCAGAATGTGTTCAGCCTCTCCTGGATACCCCAGCCCTGGTTTCTGCTCTCCAGCCTGCAGGGGATGACTCATCTCAGCCCAGAAGCCCAGAGCTCCTGTTCCATCTTAGCAAGGACTAGGAGCACCTATGATTTAACCCAGTGAAATGAACTGGGTTCACCAGGACCCAGTCCCCTGTGGGTACCCCACAGTGAGCATCTCTTTGGATCGAGCAGATATTTCTGGACATATGGCAGCACTAGGTTCCCAAAGTTTCCTCCTAGGTCAGCTCTTAAGTTCTAAAGCCCAGCCCTAGCAAGTCTCCAGGGGTCCACCTTCCACACAACCCTGACGTCATCCCGTGCAGCAACTCTTAAAAATTCCCAGAGGGGCCCGCGTCCCAGAGTGTCCCCACCCACAGCATTGCAGGCATGCCGTCTCCATGGCGGCAGCTCCGGCTGGTGTCCTGCCGCGCTCCGCAGGCCGGGCCCACTCGGCATGTGCGGGTGGTGCTGGAGGGGCTGCGACAGCCCTGGAACATCGCCTCATTTAAGCTGTGTTGGAGAGTTAGCCCCCTGACAGGGCAGCCGAGCTCTGCGCTCCCCAGAGAGTACATCCATTCGCACCTTGGAGGAGCCGGTACTGCTGCTGATTTAATTGTGCTCCAAGACGCATCAGTTGTCAGCCCGCGTGGAAGTGGGGCTATTTCTTTTGTGGGGATGCACGCCATGAGATTAGGGGGACCTGGTCACAGTGTGATAGATAAGTCTTGTTCCAAGTCTTCTTTGTGTGTGTGTGCGCGTGTGTGTGTGAGAGCGAGAGAGAGCGAGAGAGCGAGAGAGCGAGAGAGAGAGAGAGAGAGAGAGAGAGAGAGAGAGAGAGAGAGAGAGATGTCTTTCTCTGAATGGATTCTGGCCACACAGTCTTGCTGGGGAATTCCACACCCAGGAGATGTGTGAATCTCAAGACCGCTTTGCCGACAAATATTTATCGAGTGCTCACCTTGAGCATGTTTTTGTCGGAGTCTCAACAGGAAGCAGACGACACATTTGAAGTCAGATAATATGAGGAGAGTTTGCTGGCAAGGAGGCTATTAACAAAGGTGAGGGGGCGGGAACCCCAGGGCTGTAGCAGTAACATGTGGCTCAGCAGTAAGGTGGTGGTGGCGCCTGCAGAGCTGAGGCACAAAGGCAGGCAGCTGTCATTGAAGCCTGAGGGAGGGCCGGTGGCCTTCAGCTTAAGGACCTTGCCAACAAGGATCCAGGGGAAAAGCTGCCCTCAGCAAGCTTTTTTGTCCAATCCTCTATGGCAGTCCCCCCTGGCCAAATCCCACAAGGTGGGGTGGGGGGCACCGGAAACTTGCAATGGTTTGTACTAGTTGGCCTCCTGGGTCAAAGGCAGGCTGGAGAAGTGTCTGAAGCACGTGAGGGGACCAGGATTGGCAAATGTGTGTGGCCAGGTACAATCCAGCACTGTGCGATTCACAGAGTTGATTCCAGGTTTTGTGGACGCTCACCGTATTTGGGGATCTACTTTTAAGAAAATCATACAAAAATATCTTACCTTGGCAAATGAATAAACTTCTAAACGATGTAAAACACTGTGTATGGGCCCTTCTCGGGGTTGGAAGGGACCTGGGCAAGTGAGGTCTGGAGCTGATGCATCATTACCTTTCCTGGAGATCTTCTGCCTACGAATTTTGTGATTGTGACCTAGAGTGTCCCAGTCTGCAGTAAACTTCATTCCCATGGGGTGATGAAGGTTTAGAGAAAACTGCTTGTAAATGCAAGGCAAACTGTGGTGTAGCAGAGTTACAATAAAGCACTACAGAAGGTTAGATAGACACCGAAACAGGCTTTGAAAGACAGGTAGGATTTAGCCAGACAATGGGTGTGCACAATCATTAATACTACCTGCTATTTATTGAACACCTACTAGGTGCAAAGCATTGTCTGAGATGATGTCACTCACTTCTGACAGAAACAGGAAAGGAGACTGCCAGGGTTAAGTCACCTCCCTGTGGTCGCAAAGCTGCAAAGTGGGAGAGTACCTGGATTTGCAGTGCGGGTTGTTCGCTTCCAGAGCCAGGAGGAAGGTACTGAACCAAGTTGCTGTGGTTCAAACATTCCAGGTGGTGGTCCAGAAGGCGGGGAGGGCAAGTGCTGGTTCAAGGACACTCTGCCAAGGGGAACATAGGACTTCTTTCACATTCAACCCTCTGTCAATGTACTTAATAAACCAAGCCTCTGTCAACACTGGCAGTCGTATGATCTAAGCAGAAATCCTTTGCAATGAGACTGCGAACAGGGACAGGAGCACAGGGATGGAGCAATAACTTGTGGCTCCGCGCAAGACGGTTTCGGTTGCTATGGCGCTGAGGGGTCCAGCATCAGATCTGCAGTCTGGACCCCTTCTGGTGAGGGCGACCACATTTCCCAGCAGTCCACGCGGGCAGAGGCCGCTAAAAGACTCCATTTCCCAGCATGCAGTGGAGCGCCGGCCACAGCTCCCGGCATTCCGCGGGAAGTGCCAAACCCCGCGCGGCTCCGCCCCTCTGCGCGGCGCTCCCTCTCGCCCCGCCTCTCCGCTCCGCGCGGGCCAATGAGGAGGCTCCATACTGCGGGGTGTGCCGGGGCCGGCGCCGCCGCGGAGTTGCGAGTCGGCGAAAGCGGCGGGAAGTTCGTACTGGGCCGGAGGCGCGGGGCCCGCGGCTCGCGGTAGGGAGGGCGCGGGCGCCGGGCGTGGGTCGCGCCGGGGCGGGCGGGCTCCGGGCGGCGCGGCGCCGGCTCCTGCCCGGCTGCCCGGGCCCGGCCAGGGTGGCGGTGGCTCGGCGGGTGGCGCCCGGCCGGGCCCGGGTCCCGGCGCTCGGGGCCGGTGGGCGGCGGCGCGGCCCCGGGTGGGCGCCTGTCCCTGGCGGCCGCGGCCTCGGGGTGGGCCCCGCGCCGCGCGGCCCTCTGAGGGCGATCGGGGCCGCTGGGGCCCGGGGGGTCTCGGAGGAGGTGACGGGCCCCCTGACCCCGCGGGCAGAAGGCCCTGCCCGAGGCCGGCTCTCCGGGGCGCGGCGGCCGCCCTGGGCCGCCCTCGGAGCGGCGCGGGCAGCGGGGTGAGCGCGCTCGCTCTCGGGGGGCCGGGTGCGGGGCGTGGGAGCTCGGGGGGGGTGCCCCAGGCATCTTAGGGCCCCCCGACAGCTCCCCGAGTTCTCTTCCCCGAGCCGGCGGGGTGGCGCCCTCGCCCCTGCAGCCTTGTCAGGGGCCGCAGATAGTTTTTCCTGCCCGCCAAGTGCTTTCTGGCTCTGATCGCGAACATTTTAGGTGGTTGAGTCAAACCCGATAAAAAGCACTAGAGGCCCTGGGTGGAGAGAGGAGGAGGAGGGCGTGAGACGCCAGGCCCCTGTCGAGGCCGCCTGTTTTCTAATGTCTTTTCTATCTGTGACCCATATTTATTTTTCCTGTGTCACCTCCCCCCCCCCACCTCCACCCTCTCCTTCTTGGAACAGCGTGGAAGACCCGGTTTTGCTTTTGGGAGGTGGGTGGTTTCAGGGAACTCTTCCATAGTCTCATTAATATTTTTCGTTTTTTAAAAAAAATTGCAATCGCCATTTGTTTGGTCTGAAATTGAGTGAAAAATGTAGGGCAGCATTTATTTTTAAAAGTTCAAATCAAGACTTCTTTTTGTTTAAACAGGTCTGGTAAAATATTTTGTTTTAATTTTGCATTTTATGACCTGCTGAACATGATATGTTCGGGGAGAATTTAATCAACATTTCTGAAGCAATTCCAAGGGAAGCTTCTTTACGTAATCATTTTATTCAGATTTGTTTGTGCTGTTTAAAATGATATGTTGTAACTGGGATTAAATTTCTGGTTTGATAGGGGTATAGTCATCTGCTACCTGTAGAAGGGAATGTAGCTTAAGTAGTCACTTAATAGCTTTCTCTGCCGAAGTTACCAGAGATGGTATATTATCTGTACTTCTCAACATTGCTAATCAGATTCCATGTTAATACAGTCACAACTTGAACTTAATAACAGTAAACTTGTGTTGAGCGTTACTGTCAAGTTAATAGTAGTATCTAGTACAAATATCAGGTAGATAGTTTAATGGCTTCTCATGCTCAGTGCCACAGAAATTATGAGAGGTTATTTGTTCAACAAATGAGATAATGGAGTAATGTGTGCAGCATAGAACCTGGCACATGGTAAGTTAGTAAGTGGCCAGGACATGGTTATGTGGAACACTTATGCTAAATTTTATTCCAGGTTGCAAGTGTGTATCTAAAAAAATAAGTAATGCTTTAAAAATGTTGACAGATCCGAAAATTCAATTTCTTTAAAAAAATAGGCCAGCTTTTTTTTGTATTTGAGAACTAATATAAAAAATGATGAATATGTAAGTGACTATCCCAGATGTCTAGAAAAGAAAAAAGATTTTTATTTTGACAACTCTACATTTTTACTCTTAAAGCCATCTCTAATAAGATATAATGTACTATGAATAGGATTTTGATTTGAAAAATAAGGCTTCTGCAAATGAAGCAAAGCTTTAAAATTTACCTTAGAGCAAATGAAGAAGAATGACTTGTGAATTATGTCCCATATATTAGGCAGTGAATCTTGGGAGTTAGATGTGGGGAGGTGGGAGTGGAGAAAGACAGCCTTTCATGAAATACGGTCTTGAGGAAGTCTGAGAATAGGTTGGTAACTGAGTAGAACTGGAGACTTTTTGGGACTGGGGGAATGTTTTTCAGAGCGAGCAGGGCCAGGCTAATTTACCAGATACCTCGTGCGCCTAGTGTGTGTCAGGAGCTGCTGCGTGTACAGTATTCTTGCTCTCCATAGTGTTTTGTAGAAGCTAGTTATCTTTGTTTGAAATTAATAGGGGTCATTCTTTATGACTTTAGTAATCTAGTATACAGCACACAAGAAGTTAATACATGTGTGCTACACCATTAGTGAGACAATGTAGAAAATATGAAATTTTTGATGAGGGTGTCAGATTAATTTAGAAAAGGGGTGGAATCCTGACCAAGCATTTGCCAAGGCGATGTAAGCAAGATGTGCTTGTGCTCTCGGATATGTTTAGCCTTTGTACGAAATTGCTGTTGATGGCTTCCCATTTGCCATGATAAGGGAGGGCCCTGACCCGGGATTATATTTTCCCCCTTGACTTGTGCATGATTTTCTGAGGTTGCTGTGTTTCATGCACTTACGCCTACTCACTCTTTCTCTCTCCTCCAATGTTGTCTTAAATCTTTGTCCTCAGACACAGGTACGTTCCGCTATTCTTCTAGGTGACTTGTGGGCAACACCGTAAAAAGAAAACTCTAGGGAGCCTGGAGAGAATGAAACTGCCCTTTCCCCCAGTTTGACCTGGAATACTCAGACATAACTGCGAAGGACAAGAAGCAACTCTTTTAGTAACAGTCTTTAGTAAAACGTATTAAGGACTTAGCCACAGCATCTTTGTCAACTTGGAAAAATAGGTGTTTGTGAATCCTATTTATTTAGTCATCATGTGGGTGCGTGGATTTTGATGGCTCTTTGCAGTAGCTCCTCTGTGTCTCTGCCTGTTGTCTGGGAACCAGTACTCTGGGCTTGAGCATGAAGAGAGACATTGTTAGTACTGGCACATAGTTAGGGTGAGTAGTCACAACTACACACTCAAATGTTTATCAATGAGATGTACATTAAATGGAAATTAGGTGGAAGTCATAATTGCTAGGTTATTTGAGATTTGGGGATGTTCATAGATGTTGTAGGGCTATTGGTCTTCAGTACTGTGTATGTACTGCCATATACTTTTAAATCAAATAGTATCCCTGTCTGATGGAGCGCAACATCTGGAACAGTTTGTAGTTGGCCGGGCAAGGAACTAAAGAGGATTCAGAAGTCATTAGGAGCAAGGGCAGCACTGTGCTCTGCTTTGGGGACTTTATATTTTGTCTCTGTGCATTTATTTCATTTCTCTTTGCAGGACTTGCTGCTTGCTGCTGCTTGCACATGGGGCAGCTATGTCTGCTCTAGACTTAGCTTCTTGTTTCAAGAACCCAGAAGAGACTCCATTATCCATCTGTCAATTATATCTAAAATTAAAAGGAAAAAACATGAAGTTAGAAATCTTATAGCTCAGATAACTACAGCTTTATTTCAGGTTAATTGCTATCTCAAATTGTTTCACCAAGAGCTGAACAAATGTCATTGTTTGATGATACTATGTATAAATGCATTGTGATCACATTTCATAATACTAAGTGTTAAAGAGGGCTGTTAAGCCTTTAGTCTTCAACGACTCTGTCTGGGAGACATAGAAACTTACTCTTTCTACTGGCAATGTTGCTTTTTCCCACTTAACGCAGCTGGAAACTCTGGGCAACACAACTATCAACATCATTCAGATTATATCTAGTTGTACATTCTTTTTAGAGGTAATAAGAAAAGTGTGTTGTTTGGGAATCAGGAAAAGAGTTTTAATTCATTTTTTCAAAGCTAAGGCCAGGTTATCAACATATAAGAGGCTTACTCTTGCTGGTTTTTTCAGACTCAAGTCATGACTTTCCGGCATGCATTATCACTCACGTTGCTGCGGTAGCGTGCAGGGGTTTCTTTGAGTTGATTTTAATTGTTACACATGATAAAATGAATGTAAGCAGCAAAATGTCAGCAAAAAGAGTGTAAAACTGAAATTTGAATAAGTAGATGGGTAATGAACGTATCGTGTCGGGTTCCTAGCAGCTTGGTGTCGCGTGGCTCTGCCTCGTTGCATTGGACAGTTCACCTCTGAAGGACACGTGGGTGTTTTCTGGATTTGGACTATTCTAAGTAAAGCTGCTTTGAACCCTCATGTACAGGTTTTAGTATCAGTGTATGTTTTCAGTGTTTAGGGTAAATGGCCAAGGGTGCAGGTGTTGAATTGTAGGGTGAGCGTATGTTTAACTTAATAAAAAACTGCCAGCCTTTCCTGGAGTAGCTGAACCATTTTACAGTCCTAGTGCTCACACACGAGGGGTCCAGTCCCTGCATCCTCAGCAGCATGTGATGTTGGTTTGGGTTTTTTCCCAGGTAGTGGTATTTTTGTGGTAGTCATTCTAGCAGGTGTGTGTGCTCTCTTATCTCATTTGGCTTTAATTTCTGTTTCTCATGGCTGATGATACTTGACACCTTTTTGTGGGCCTATTTGCCATTCATTGCTTGTTAGTGACGTTTCTGTTCAAATTTTTTGCCTCTTTGAAACTGATTTCTGAGTTCAGAGTATCCTTTATGTTTTCTGAATATGAATCTTGGCCTGCTGAGAGATTTGTGGATGTGTTCTCTCAGTCTGTGACTTGTCTTTTCATTCTTTTCTGGTGTCTTGCAGCACAAAAGTTTATCATTTTGGTCAAGTCTGATTTACCAGTGTGTGGGTCATGTTTTGGTGGCATGCAAGTCTCAGAACTCTTGGCCTGAACCTAGGTCAGGAAGGTGTTCTCTTTTCTTCTGAGCATTTTGTAATTTTATGTCTTGTGTTAACATCTCTGATCTGCTATGGGTTTAGATATTGGTCCTTTGTCTTCTGCATGTGGCTGTCCAACCATCCCTAAATTCTGTCTTTGCTCTACTGAAACATTTTTTTGTTGCCTTTATCAAAAATCAATTGGCTAGGGCCTCCCTGGTGGCGCAAGGGGTTAAGCACCATAGTATGAGGTGATCCACGGCCTCTGCAGCATGAGTTCAATCCCTGG